GACTATAATTTAAAAAATTTTTTATGTAGTCATAAATGTCTTTCTTTTCCTTTATGGTTTCTAGATTTCTTGTCAAACTTATGGCCTCCCCTACCTCAATATTATACAGATTATATGCTTAATTTTCTTTTTCTCTTTTCACTGATTTTGGATTTTTTATACTCATACCTTTAATCTACTGTATCTGGATTTTTGTGTGTGTGTGTGTGATGTACAGAGTCTTTTTGTTTGTTTGTTTTTTTCCAAATGGATAGCCAATTATGAAGGTAACATTGATTAAATAAGCATTCTTTCCCTGGTAAACTGAAATACCACAGTGTCATAGAAAAAGTTCTTATACACATTGGGCTGTTTCTGTCCTCTGTTCTTGCCGTGGATATATTTTGTTTATTCCTGTGTGAATACCTTGTTTTGAATAAAGCAGGTCTCCCTTCTCTTCTTCAAAATTTTCTTGGTTATCCTTGGATACTTGTTCTTCTGCATAAAGTTTAAAACTCCCACTGGGTTTAAAATTAGAATTATATTAACTATAAATATTAGTTGAAGAGGGAAGGATGTTTCTATATTAATTTTTCTCTTTCAGTAACATGGTGTCCTTCTATTCATACCATGTTTTCTGTTTTTCAATAAGATTTTATAGTATTCTACTATAAGATTTACAGGATTCTACTTCTTATTCTAAATGGTTATTTCTAGTATGGGCAAAAGTTATTGGATTCTGCATGGCTATCTTATATCCAGATACCTTTCCAAATTCTCTCATTATTTTAGCCATCTCTTGTGTTTCTAGACATGTATTATATGATCTGCAAACAGGAAAAAAGTCACAAATTTTCTATTATTTATACAGATTTTTTTCATTATCTTATGCATTAGCTAAAACCTCTAAAACAAAGTTGAATGACAAAGGTACCAAGCATCAATGTCTTATTTATTTAATGGAAATGTCTTCAGTATTTCACAGTTTAAGCTGATGTTTGCTGTTTGATATTGGTAAAGGTGTTTATCATCAGAGCTGCCACCTTAGATGTGAAGTATGTAGTGCACAATGTGGCAACATCTAAGAGGAGTTTGTTTTCTCCCAGTGTACTGGATCAGTTTAAAGTATCTGTTCCTTGTAGGTCAAAGGTATAAAACAATCTGGAACTGATGTCTTTTTTAGTGATAGGTTTCAAATGATCTTACCAGTTGCTTATAATGTTATTGGTCTGTTTAGGTTTTCTAGTTCCTCTTGGGTCAAATTTGGTAGTTTATATTTGGCAAGAAAACAATCCTTTTTTCTTTCTTTAAGATTTTTAAGAATATTACCATATATTAATAATTTAATAAATTTAGTAAACTGTCCTAATTTTAAAATATTATTTATATCTATGACTATATTTCTTTCTTATTCTTAATGTTGTATATTGTGCTTTTTCTCAATCAGATTTGCTGTGGTTTATCTATTTTATTTTACTTGTTTTAAAGAACCAGCTTTTCATTTTATTTGTAATTTCTTCTATTTTTAATTTATGGTTGTGATAGGCTAAATCATGCCGCCTCCCAAAGATGTCCACAACTTAATCCCTGCAAGCTATGAATATGTTATGTTACATGGCAAAAGATGCTTTGCTGATGTAATTAAGGTTATGGATTTTCTGACTGGGAGAAAACCCTGGATTATCTGGGCAGCCCAATCTAATTACATTAACCCTTTCAAAAACAGAGAACTTTGGCTGGAGGAAGAAGAGATGAAGAGGAGAAAGAAGGAGAAGTCAGAGAGATTCCAAGCCAGTGAGACAGAGGGCGCCATGTGCAAGGAACAGAGAGAGGAGCTCAGGACAACCCTCAGCCCACAGCCAGTGAGAGTATGGGGACCTCAGTCTTACAACCACAAGGAACTAGATTTTGCCAACAACCTAAATTAGCTTGGGAGCTGATTCTACCCCAGAGTCTTTCCATAAGAGCCCAGGCCAGCTAACACTTTGATTTTGACCTTGTGAGACCCTGAGCAGAGAAACCAGCCAAGCCAATCTGGACTTCTGATGTAGAGAAACTGTGAGGTAATATATTTGGGTTGTTTTAAGCCACTACGTTTGTGGTAAATTGTTATGGCAACAATAGAAAACTAATACAACTGTTCATGGATTTTTTTTTTTTTGCGTTTACTTTTCCTTGTATATTTTGCTGTTCTCTTTTAGTTTCTTTTTTTTCTCCTGGTTTTATCGAGATATAAATGACCTTCAGTTTCTTAAGTGAATACTCCATTTACATATTTTAAGTTTTTCTTTCAATAAATAAAGGCATTTAAGCCTATATTCCTCTGAGAACCATTTTATCTAAGACCCATATATTTTCCAATAAATATTCTCTTTTTTGCTAATTCCTAGATATTTCTTAATCTTATATATTAAGATATAGAGTACAGTATAAATTGGATTTTAGAAATTCCAGATTAAAAGGTATATCTAGTATAGGAAACTTTTTTTTTTTAGCTTTAAAAGCTTTTATTGGGCTTCCCTGGTGGCGCAGTGGTTGAGAGTCCACGTGCCGATGCAGGGTACGCGGGTTTGTGCCGCGGTCCGGGAAGATCCCGCGTGCCACGGAGCGGCTGGGCCCGTGGGCCATGGCCGCTGAGCCTGCGCGTCCGGAGCCTGTGCTCCGCAATGGGAGAGGCCACAGCAGTGAGAGGCCCGCGCACCGCAAAAAAAAAAAAAAAAGCCGTTACTGTTATACAGAAATGCATGTGTATTTAGAAGATACAAAAAGTGAAAAGAAAAATAATCAACTGGAATCCAGCCACCTAGAGATCATTTCTGTTAACATTCTGATGCATATCTTTCCAGATGTTCAGAGAATGCCTTGGTATATAACTAACGCACTAAAGGCATTTTATCTAATCCATTTTAACTACTGTACTCAGAACCACAGAACCCTCTCACAGGCAAGCTACATAAAGTTTTGGGTAGTCTCCATTCTGTTCCTCAGAAATATGGCCGTCCACTGAGGATGATCAAACACGGGCTGAGTGATGGTGGGGATGTTGTGGAAACAGCAGGACCGTGTGGGGAGAGCTCAGGATTGGAAAGACCAGCGCCTGAGTCCCAGCTCTGCCACCTGCTGTGTAACCTGTGCATCCTCAGCATCTGTAAAGACTAGCTCACTTGAAGGACTACGTGAGGTAAGCAGAATGCCTCACACTGCGCTCTGGCTCTAATATCCTGCATTCTGGTGTGGCACAAAGGAGGTGAGGCAAAGTGAGGGGAACAAACTGCTGAAAGCAGAACAGAAAGCTAGGAAAGTCCTAAAGAGATGCTAGTAGACCAAGGGGGTCCCCAAAGCAACTGGCAGCATCTCAATGGCCCCTGCTCTTGCCATCCTACTCTCTGAAGGGAGAGGGTCCACCAGCTGGCAGCAGAGGAGGACGCTGTCTCCCAGATGAGAACACTGAGGGAAAATCAACTTTGAGGGCAGGAGATCTGGGCTAGGCTCAGCCACCCAATTTGAGATATTCTCCTTGTTCCTTCTTGATCAGTAAGATCATGTTTGATACAGGGTTCTCCCTATGCTCCCCTTCTGTCTGGCACCTTACAATCCGCCAATCCCTACCTCCAGGCATGCTAATGCAAACTTAAATTATTAATAGTGTCCATATAGATATCAACTTTTACTTACTTAAAATTCAAAAAGGCTTAAAGCTTTAAAAACCTTACTTTAAGAAGCAGAAAAATGACAAATACATGTCTGCTAAGAGATCCTTTTTTAAAGAGGTCATACATTCATATATTCTAAAATATGCCTTGAGGTTTTATGAACTCACTCCAGTTTCTTCTCCTATATCCACAGAAAAGTAAGTTCACAATGATGTCTCAATCAGGAGTTGGATATATGTACTAAGGAAGGGAAGTGAATTGACATAGTTTGTCAAAAAAAACAAAGATTTTTCAACAAAATGGTTAACACCAAAAACATTAAAAATTAACCTTTACTTTTGTGATCTAGAACAGCCAAATTCCTATCTCACTCCATTAACTTACATTTAAATATAGTGCTCTTAAGAGTATGTGTTTTTTGGGGACTTCCCTGGTGGTCCAGTGGTTAAGACTCATGCTCCCAATGCAGGGGCCCTGGGTTCGATCCCTGGTCAGGGAACTAGATCCCCCATGCCACAACTAAGAGACCGCATGCGGCAACAAAGACCTGGTACAACCAAATAAATAAATACTTAAAATAGAGTGTGTGTTCTTAGTAAATGAAGACATTTAATAAATGAAATGAAAATAAAATAATCACTGAGCCTTCAAAATCTAACAAAGACGTAAAAATTCACCTCTTTACTCTTAAAGTTAAACCTAGAAAATAGAAGTGACAGAGAATGTGAGAAAGAAATCTATAGCTCTCGCCTATGCTAGTTTATCCAGCACATGGAATTTAAAGTCCAAACAATGGCAGCCTAGATATTATGAGATGGCAATTTCTCTACATACATATGTCCATATTTAAACCCTTACATTCAAGCGCATAACTGAATTCTGCAGTTCTGGTGCCCCCTCAGGGGGAAATACTTATAATGGAAACAAATGGAACAGTGACTAGTGGGAATGAGATGATTTCCAAGAAACTATGAATGAATGGAAAACATCGAAAGTATCTGAATTGTTTTACTTTTTATATCTTGTTTAGAAATACACTGAGAGGGCTTCCCTGGTGGTGCAGTGGTTGAGAGTCTGCCTGCCAATGCAGGGGACACGGGTTCGAGCCCTGGTCTGGGAAGATCCCACATGCCGCGGAGCAACTAGGCCCGTGAGCCACAATTACTGAGCCTGCGCGTCTGGAGCCTGTGCTCCGCAACAAAAGAGGCAGCGATAGTGAGAGGCCTGTGCACCGCGATGAAGAGTGGCCCCTGCTTGCCGCAACTAGAGAAAGCCCTCACACAGAAACAAAGACCCAACACAGCCAAAAATAAATAAATTAATTAATTAATTTTAGAAAAAATTAAAAAGAAACACTGAGATACTGACCTGTAAGATATAGAGAATGACAGCTGTCAGTCCAACCCAGCTGTGCAGACTATACATATTGGGGATGTTCCTGGCATTGTGGAAATCAAAAACAGCCACCAGAGAAATAATTGCAAGAATGGCAGCAACAGCGTTTAACCCTGCATGGATGGATTTCATCAGGAGCTTGCTGCATTTCCAGGTCCATGGCAGTCTGTATACGATGATGGCTAAAAAAGAGACAAAAGTGGATAGAATGTAGTGGTGCTGTTTTCTTAATCAACACAAGATGAACAGTTCGACACAGTGAACACTCCCTTTTGTGAAACCCTTTTCTCATGGCTTCTGCTTTCCCCCTCTTCCCTGCCTCTCAGTGGTTCCTTCTTGGGCTCTTTGCTGGCATCTTCTTTACTTCCAACTTATGAACGAAACTTGCTGCCTCTCAGGCTCAGTCCTAGGACTTTTTCCTCTCTCTGCTCTCTCTCTGCGTGATCTCATTCACTCTTTCATTAAAATGCTACCTGCAGGGCTTCCCTGGTGGCGCAGTGGTTGAGAATCTGCCTGCCAATGCAGACGACACAGTTTCGAGCCCTGGTCTGGGAAGATCCCACATGCCGTGGAGCAACTGGGCCCGTGAGCCACAATTACTGAGCCTGCGCGTCTGCAGCCTGTGCTCCGCAACAACAGAGGCCGCGATAGTGAGAGGCCTGCGCACCGCGATGAAGAGTGACCCCCACTTGCCACAACTAGAGAAAGCTCATGCACAGAAATGAAGACCCAACACAGCCATAAATAAATAAATAAATAAATACATTGTGTAAAAAAAAAAAAAAAAAAAAAAAAAATGCTACCTGCATGGTAGGGACTCCAAAATTCTCATCTCCAGCCCAGAACTTTCTTCTGAACTCCACACCCACATAATCCAATGGCTTCTTGACATCTCCACATAGATGCCTCTCAAATATTTTAAACTCAACATATCCAAAATGAAATTCTTAATCTTATGATCTGGTTTCTTCATATAAGTGTCTTAATTTGACAAGAAAAAGACAGACTAAACAATAGAAAAATATGCGCAAAGATTTAAATAGACAAAGTATATCCAAGAGTATATCTAAGTATTTCACAAAAGAGTATATCCAAGTGACTAATAAACATAATAAAGATATCAACTTCATTGGTCAACACAGAAATGAGAATACCTCTACCACATATCTGAATGGTTAAATATGGAAAATACTGAGTATTGGAGAGGTTGTGAAACAATCAGAACGCTCATGTTCTGCTGATAAGAGTTTAAATGAGAACAAACACTTTGGAAAACTAGCAGCAACTACTTAAGCAAAATATATGCATACCTTATGATCTAGTAATTCTACTCCTGAGTATATGCCCCAAAGAAGTATGTACATAAGCTCACCAAAAGACAAGTACTAGAATATTATTACAGCACTATTCATTGTAGCCAAAACCTGGGAACTTCCCAGTGTCCATCATTAAGAGATTGAATAAATAAATTGCAATATATTCACACCATGGAATAATATACAGCAAAGAGGATGAATGAACTAAAACTAGAACTTCACCCAATGATATGGACCAAAGTATAATGTCAATGCCAAGAAACCAGACATAAACAAGTATATACTGTATCATTCAATTGACATGAAGTATAAAAACAGGCAACACTCATCTATGCAATAAGAAAAGTCAAGATATTGGTTGCCCTTGTGAGGAAGGGGTATAGCAACTGGAAAGAAATGCACGAGGGATTCCTGGGCTCCTGCTAATAATCTTATTTTCAAACTAGGTGTTGGTTACATAGGTAATCACTGAGGGAAGATTCATTAAGCTATATATTTATATGTATACTTTTCTGCATGTAGATTAAACTTTAACAAAAAGATACTTAAAAAGCTTTTTTTTTTTTTAGTGTCCTGGCTTAAGCAATAGGTTATATACCCACCTTACCCAGCATGCAATTAATTTTTGTTCTGAAGACAATATCCTGCCCCAGCCCACCCTTATTCCACTCCTTCAGTCCATGTCAGGGAAAATTTAGATATCTGGAAATATATGGATGATTGAAAATGTTTAAAGAATACTTCCTTGGAAAATGCATTCTATTATATCAGCAGTGAATCATGTATATTTCTTAACTCCAGAAAAGAAGAAGCAGACACTGCTGCTGCCTTTTCCCTTCAAAGACATTTACAATGTGAATATATGAAACTTAATTGGATCATAAAAATGTAAAAGATTATCTTGTCCATTTTCAGGCAGAAACACAAAAAACCTACAAAGATAGATGTGAATTCAGCCTCTTTAGAGCTTTCAGCACAAGATGTCAATCTTCTTATTATTTGGTTCCATTCCAACACTTGACAGGCCTCACCATTAGGACAGTATTCCTTTTATGTAATACAAATTCTGAAGGACTACCACTTACTAATTTTAGTGCATATATGTCTATCTTATAAATGTTGATTGATTATATTTCCTTAAGGATATGGAAACTTTGTAGACAATCATTTCTATATTCAACAAATTTTTTCAAACCATTTAACACAACACCTTAAAAGGTACAGTTTGTTTTTTTGGCCTTGCCGCACATCTTGCGGGATCCTAGTTCCTCGACCAGGGATCGAACCCTGGGCCCTGACAGTGAAAGTGCCTGAGTCCCAACCACTGGACCACCAGGGAAATCCCAAAAGGTACACTTTTAAAATCTAGTTCAGGGAATTCCCTGGCGGTCCAGTGGTTAGGACTCAACACTTCCACTGCCATGGCCTGGGTTCAATCACTGGTCCGGGAACTGAGATCCTGTAAGCCCTGTCGCATGGCCAAAATAATTAATTAATTAATTAATTAAAAATAAAAGCTAGTTCAAGGCCCCTTCTCATCCCTACTTCATCCCCTTTGAAGGCAAAAATGTGTCTTGCTGTTTCTCCTTGTATCCCCAGAGCCTAGGACAGCCCTGGGCTCAAAATATGTATGCAGCTCCATTAGTATTTTTTTAAACTTATTTTGAGATACTGTAGATTTACATACAGTTGTAACAAATAATACAGAGAGATCCCATATACTCTTCACACAGCTTCCCCCAGTGGTAACATCTTACATAACTACAGTATAGTATTACATCCAGGAAATTGGCGTCAATATAATCCACTAACCTTTTTCGAATTTCAGTAGTTTTATTTGTGTGTGTATGACCCTTAAGTCTTTTTTTTTTTTTTTTTTTT